GGCCCTCACAATTCGCCTTTCACCTCTTCTCCTCTTAGCCAAGGGGAACACTTAAGAGAGGCCTGGATGGGTGGATCCGAGCCTACATTTCCTTCAGGCCCTAACTGTGATCTGAAACACAGGAGAGTCCGGAGGCTGGGCCGGGGCGCTTGAGCACTAAGTCCTTCTTCCATTGCGTGCCTGAGCTCTGTCTCTGCTTCGGCCTGTCCAGGACTGGACATCAGTCAGAACAAAGCACCTTCATTTGTTACTCTGAGAACTTGAGTTAGAGATCCCTCAGCTGGATTTCCTTGCCCTGCTCATTTACGAGCACAGACTAGACCAGGCCCTCCCTAGAAGGGCATTATAGAGCTTCCGCACTGAGCTGCTTCACGGTCCCACAAGAGTGCTTGCCAGCCTTAACTGAGGGTGGCTCTCACCGCAGTGTTTTATGTACCATTTCTCAAATCCATCTGTCAGTCCTTGTGTTTGTTTTCTATGGCTGCATAACAAATCACAGCAAACTTAGCAGCTTAAAATAATACAAATTCAGTATCTCATAGTTTCCACAGGTCAGGAGTTCAGGCACAGGTTACCTGGATCCTCTGCTCGGGGTCTCACCGGGCTCATATCGAGGCGCTGACTGACTGCATCCTCCTGTGGAAGTTTGAGTAGGGAAAGATTCACTTCCAGGCTCCCTCAGGACATTGGCAGAATCCCTTGTCTTGTGTTTTCTTGCTAGCTGCTCACAGGGCCCAGAGGTCATTCTCAGGCCCTTGCTATGTGGCCCTTTCCACGATACACATTGTGTCTTCAAGACCAGAGGAGACCTGTTTCCAAGAAGGGCCTAGTTCACCTTTTCGGGGCTCACTGGATTGGGTCAGGCCCACTCAGGAACATCTCCCCTTTGACTAACTCAGAGTCAACTGATGAGTTATTTAATCATGGGAGTGCTATCCCATGGTATTCACAGGCTACCCCCCTAGCACTGAAGAGGAGGGCATTCTCCAGCATGTATGTTGGGGGTGGGAATCTCGGGTTCAACTTAGAATCCTGCCTCCATCAGTCATTTAGTTTTTTTGTAATCATTACTGTTTTTTGATCAAGAAGGAGAGTAAGTGGTTGCATTACTCAGGATCTTTTACATACAGATAACTGAAGAATTCGAATATAACTTGAAAATGCAAGAGGGAATTTACTGGCTCATTTAATGGAAAACCCCAGGATGCTGGACTACCTTCAGGCATGAATTGAGCCTTTGTTGAGACAATGTCATCAAGCCTCAGTCCCCGTCCCATGGCATACTGCTCCTCCCAGATAGCTTAATTCTTAAAAAGGGTCACCCGTTATGGTGGGAAAGATGGCCATGATCAGTTCCAGGCTTATATCTTGCTGGCTTCACAGCCTCTGTGTGAAGACTCTTTTTTCCGAGGAGCTCAGCAAAAGTGCCAGAATTGAAGGTTATTGCTGGGCTTAGACAACATACTCACTCCTGAAGCAGTCACTGAGGTTCTGACTGTCCAGGTTTGGGTCACATTCCTGTCCCTGAAGTCCCCTGTGAACCACCATGTGGGTTGAGCATGGAGGAGGAGTGGATCCCCAAGGGAAGATGATCACTGTCATTGCTGTTACTGTCAGATCAGGGAAGTGGGTGCTAGACAAGCAGAAACAGCAGAACATAAAGTCAAGAAGACAGGACGGCTCCCTCAAGGAGGCACAGACCTGCACTGAAGAAATAACTTCAGAGCAGGATCATGACAAGAACCCATTAACCAAGTGTGAATGTTGACGTCACTGAGAGCCGGGAAACTGGGCAGTGTGGGGAGTGAGTGGGTGCGGTCTGGAGCCAACCGCCTGGGCTGGAGTCTCAACTTTACCCCCAGCCCCATGCCTGGGACATAAAAATGCTCAATAAACATAAGCTATGGACCTGGGAGAAATCAAGGCAGGCTCTGGGGGAGGGGGAGCCCCATTTTTTAAAAACTAGAAGCCTGCAGATAAACAAAGGGGGGGTATTTGAGGTTCAGGGGGGCAGGTTGTTGGGGCTTACGGGACCCAGCCCTCTAATAACCAGTCAAAGCTCTCTCTCCCCCCGCAGCCTTCATCGGTCAAATCCCTGCGCGCCGAGCGCCTGATCCGCACATCGCTGGACCTTGAGCTGGACCTGCAGGCGACCAGGACCTGGCACAGCCAGCTGACTCAGGAGATCTCGGTGCTGAAGGAGCTCAAGGAGCAGCTTGAGCAAGCCAAGAGCCATGGGGAGAAGGAGTTGCCCCAGTGGTTGCGTGAGGATGAACGCTTCCGCCTACTGCTGAGGATGCTGGAGAAGCGGGTGAGAGCCATGCAAGAGGCAAGGGAAGCGGCTTGGTCTGCCCTGGGGGACTGCCCCATGTGGTAGGGGAGGGAGACCAGAGCTTGGAACAGGGCCTACAATCCTGTCACCCACTAAAGAGTGTTCCCAGGGCCCCTCATTGCCATCAGCAAAAGGATCCAGGAATCCCTTTGCCCAGTAAACTTTATTAACTCTTGACCTGGCTGCCAGACCCTTTTGCTGCATTTCCATGTTTATGTGTGCAAGGCCTTATTATTCACACTTTTGTTCATCAAACATTGGGTACCTAATCTGCGCTGGGGCACACACTTGAATAGAATAAATACAGTACACTGACCTGCCCCACTGTCTGCCCATGCAGTCCCACAGAGTACGTATCTCCAAAGACACACGTTTGCATATGGAGGAAGTCCCTCACTGGGGAGAACTCCTGAAGGCACTTCTCTGGGCCACCACCTGAAGGAGAGGAGGACAGGGGATCTAGGAGCATCTAGCATCTAGATGCTGTCCCTCAGCTGCACAGGACTCTCTGGGTCAGAAAGCTCCAAAGTAGCAGCAGCTTCGGGTCCTTTGTGGCCCTGGGGTTTATCTTATCTGTGGTTAGCAAATGGTGGGTGCAACGTCATGGGGTCTGCAAAGCTGGCAGTTTCTAAATGGCTAAAAAAAATCTGCTTGTTTGAGCTGTATTTAAAGGAATTGGATGCCTTAAAAATTTGACTTTGGCACCAGTGGGGTGGTGAGCTGACAGGTACCAGCCTGTCATGAGAAAGTAACAACACAGGGTCAATACACAGAGGCCATCTGCAGCTCATTTATGTCTCTGCTACTCCTGGACTGTCACCCATGGCAGGAATGACCTTTGCTAGTTTTCTCTGCACACAGCCAAACAAGACACCTTACAGAGGGTGCCTGCCTGGGTTGCTGGGAGAGCCATTAGCTGAAGGTGCAGCTCTTGGCGCAGGCGATAATGCCACAGTGTAGGAAAGTGGTGGTGGGTTTCTGAGGTGTGGACTAGCTGGGGGGCTTCAAATGGACTCTGGTAATTCAAGAGTTCCAGAAATGTTTATTTCTAATTTATTACTTATACCCCGTATACTTATAATAGGTAAAGTCAGGGAGGGAGGGAAGGAAGGAAGGAAAGGAAGCCTGACCTCTCAAATAGCAAAAGAGTAGTACATCCATGACTGTCTGATAATGACCTTCTACTAAAAAACCATTTAAATGATGGCTTCATTGGGGCGGCTGACTCTTGATTTCGGCTCAGGTCATGATCTCGGGGTCCTGGGATTGAGCCCCACATCTGGCTCCGTGCTCAGTGGGGAGTCTGCTTGGGGATTCTGTCTCCTCTCTCTCTCTTTCTCTCAAATAATTAAATAAACCTTTAAAAAAAATCATGGCTTCATTGACCAAAATTCCATCTTCGTGCAATGTTTTCAAGTATATGGCACCTGGATATTTCAGGGCTTTTTGTGGTTTGTTCTCAAAAGTGCTTACATAGGTTTGCATTAGGTGGAAGGGGTGCAGTGTCCCTAAAGCCCTTGAGCACAACTAAATGATTGGAATTGGGTCTCTACCACTTCTTAGTGGTTTGACGTTAAAGAAATTTCTTAACCTGCCTGAGCCTCCATTTCCTCGTCTATAATATAGAAGCAATTATAAAATGTACCTTTCTAGGTGGCCCTGAGGATTAGAAAGGTAGCACACATTTCTCTAGGCAGCCCTCATCTCCTTACCACACAGGTATTCAGTTCCATGGCCCCAAAAACCTGTTCACCCCGACCGACAGTGGGACCACATCTCATCACCATTCTGAACAGAGGATCCTGCCGTGGAACAGGAAGGAGTGAGCGTGCCCGTCCTGTGACCCTGAGACCTCTTGACTACCATAGACTCCTCCTTTGTGCTAGGAAGTTGTCACTGGCTGGCCCCTCTCGAGAGGCCCTGAGGACTCCATACCACCTCACAGCCCCGCTTGCTTTGCCCTGCAGATGGACCGAGCGGAGCACAAGGGTGAGCTCCAGACAGACAAGATGATGCGGGCAGCCGCCAAGGATGTACATAAGCTTCGAGGCCAGAGCTGTAAGGAGCCCCCAGAAGTGCAGTCTTTCAGGTAAGCAGGTGAGCCCCTGGCCAGCCCGCCTTTCCCTTTCACACTCAGCCTCCCCAGCCTCGGCTTCCCCGCCCCGGCCCGTGCTCCCTCCACCAGCAGAGCACCAGCTCCCCCTGTAACAGATGTGTGCCCTCTGCCACGCCGTCCCCGGGGGGCTGTGAGCACCGCTGTGCTTTCCCTCAGCCGTCTCTATCAATCCGCACACAATGCAAGCTAATTTGTTAGGTCCTCCTGTTGAACGAATGAGCCACCTGCTCCGGCCTTTCCTCTGAGCGTTTCCATCACCGGTAATTGCGGAGAGTTGACTGAATGATAAATAAGCCTGGGGGTGATGGGGGCTTGTGCCGGGCCTCCCTGCCTCTGCCTGCTGCCTGCCGGGATCTTAGGGAGGTGCTTTCTTGCCTGGATCCAGGCACTTCTCAAGAGGGCCCCAAATGCCATTTGACCGGGGCCTCCCGTTCACAGGGGCCCTTGTATTTAGACTCATGATAGCCTCCTAGAGAAGGCACTGGTGGTTGTGTATGTGCTCAAAAAAAAAAAAAGAAACATGCCTTTCTGGAATAGAAACATTTAAAATATACTGTCATTTGAGGATCATAGGGGAAGGGAGGGAAAAATGAAACAAGACGAAACCAGAGAAGGCGACAAACCATAAGAGACTCTTAATCTCAGGAAAGAAGCTGAGGGTTGCTGGAGTGGTGGGGGGTGGGAGGGATGGGGTGACTGGGTGATGGACACTGGTAAGGGTATGTGCTATGGTGAGCACTGTGAATTGTGTAAGACTGATGAATCACAGACCTGTACCGCTGAAACAAATAATACATTGTATGTTAATAAAAAAAAAGAAAAGAAAATATACTGTCATTTGTATAACTGTATTTGGACACCTCTTAATTTTTAACCAATTGGGAATCTTAAACAAATGAACACTGCAAGTGGCCCAAGGGCCCGTTTAAACTTAGGCCCGTGACTAGTATCCAAAATCTATAAAGAACTTATCAAACTCAACACCCAAAGAACAAATAATCCAATCAAGAAATGGGCAGAAGCCATGAGCAGACATTTTTCCAAAGAAGACATCCAAATGGCCAACAGACACGTGAAAAAGTGCTCAACATCGTTCGGCATCAGGGAAATCCAAATCAAAACCTCAATGAGATACCACCTCACACCAGTCAGAATGGCTAAAATTAAC